AGATGTGAAAGAATAAAATAGCAATAGCCTGTAATTTGTGCCACCATCGAGAATAATCTTATTTCTGACACATACTGAAGTTAGTAATAGATGAAGACTTGAAAGACATTACCTTTTGGTGTCCACCTCTGTCAGATTCACAGTAAAAAGAACTATTTAAATTAAATCCATCTTTTTAATCAGTAGCTTTTCAAATATTGGGAGTTTAGGGAAATGTCAGTTTGGCAAGTCCAAAGTTTTCCTCATTACATCTCCTCTTCTGCTACTAACACCCACCACACACCCCCTCCCATCCTTCCCCACCCCTGAATAGCGTATCATCAAGAAATTGTGGACTAGGTTTATGTCATCATAACAACTTTTCACTGTTTTAACATTTTGGTGAAGCCTGTAAGTAAAATCAAAGCTCTTACAAGCTTGTCCTCCAGGTGACTTACTGGTTTCAAAAATGTACAATGAGATAGCGAAACAACCATCCACACCTTCGTTAACCAGGTTACCACAAGTAGCATCTGCTCCTGTTGTAAGCATTACACGAACGCCAGAACTAGACTGTGATTCTAGAGAATCAGTAACAGATCAATTCAAGCTATAAGTGGGTTTCACAGCCCGAGGGAAGCCGTAACACAGCAGCATCTCCTTCAACAGGATCCAAACTAGCTAGGCTGAACTACAGCAGGACTGAACTCTGAATGCAGGACGCAGTGAACCCACTCCCATTCTGCCACTGCCATAAATGTCCTTGTCTGGTATTTTCTAATCTAAATTCTCCCCAGACATTACATATGTCCATAAAACATGACTTTTTTTTCCTGAATAACAAATAAAGAAGGCAATGCAGATACACTTTTTAGCCACAAACTACCAATGCTGACCAAGAATTTCAAAGGCAGATAGGACAGAAAATCCGAAGAACTATTCTTTTAGATATCAATATATACATACTACTTATAAGCGTATGTGCCACCTCAGGACTATTTTACAAGTTGAATTAACTCGTAAACACTATGCTGTATGAACACACACGTGTACGCATACATCTGCCGTAGCTTGCTGTTGCACTGGTGCAAAGCAGCCTGGTATAGTCCCTACAGAAAAAGAAAAGTAAAAGTCATAGGGAAGTTTTAGACAAACATAGGTAGATTTACCCAACATACAGCAAGAGCTATATTAACAGACAACCAAAGGTATGCTGAAATGCTTAAGTTTGTAAACACAAGATTTAAAATCATACATCACAACCCAGCCCTGTATTTTGATCAATCAGATTAAGTTTTTAAGTTTTTTTTTTAAAGCTTTTCAGCCAAATATGCAACTTTAGTCACATCAAAGCAAGCCAAAACCAGCACGCACAAGACATGCCATGCAATTTTTTACAAGCTTCATGTGCAATTATACGTTCTTTCTGCTGAAGAGCCTCCTTTTGGGGCTCTATTATTTAAAGGCATTGTTTTGGTAATCAGCTTTTCTGATTTAACTGTGCGCAAACTAGTTAAAACTTTTTTAAGGTACTTTGTCTGCAGAACCATCTGAGAGGGTAATTAGCAGGAACTGAGGATTTTAATACCATAAACATTTTCCTAAGTTGTGCCACAAGAAACAAACCAAAGCACATGCAGATCAAGCCTAAGAGAGGCCGGAAAGCGTTCTGTAGGGCAGTACTAAGCATATTGCTAGCAAGTAAACTTGGAGAAGAAAAAGTTCCTTCACACTATTTCCTACTTAAATCTTAAATACAGATCAAGGTTTAAAAGCACACACAGAATTTAAATTTAAGATCCTCCTCACAAGTTTCTAGTCTCAGACACTAGGTAAGCTATCATAGCCTTACCATGGATCAAATACCATAAAATGAAGTCTCAAAACTGCAAGCAATACCCTCCAGTGATTCGCAGCCTGATACCAGACTCCTGAGATGTTAAAAGATTAGCACGCAATATAAAGGGAAAAGCGCAAGCTGTGTTAGAAAGCTCCAATTCAGACAGGCAAACAAAGATCTGCCATGTTTTCAGCACAGCATTCTAAACAGTATGACCAATCACGAGAACAAAACTCAAACCCAAAACCCATTGTCATGCCTATTAACATACACAGGCCTTTTCCTAGACTTTGTGTAGCCCTTGCCCTAAAAATTATTTAAGCAATATTTACTACGTCAGAGCTCAACTAACTTTTGCAACTGGAATCTGGATACTAATATCAGTCCATGCAATTCCTCTATTTTGCGATCAGTTCTGAAAGTTTAACTTGGCTCTGTCTAGAAGCCAAGATAAACTAATGGAACAAAAGTGAGATTATTCAAAAAAAAAAAAAACCAAAACCAAAACACCAGACCACAAAAAAAACCCCAAACAAACCAAAAAAACCCCACAACACAAACCCCAGTTCCTATTGCTTCAGCACTTTGTATCAAAGACTACAGTGTACTTTAGTGTAACTTACACAGCAGTATTTAGAAGGCTTTAAGCACATGCAATTATTCAGCTAGCAGCACTATTACTATGTGTGTTACTCTTAGAATAACGTGAATAGCTTTAGGAATGCTGGTAAATCCATATTTGGGGCTGGGGGAAGGAGGAAGAGAGGGAATAAAGAAAGAAGAAATTACTCTCAGGGCTATCTCACACCATTAAATGCCTCAAGTAGAAGCAGCTCATTCATTTCTTGAAGACGCATTGTCTTCCAGCTACAACTGAGCTACAAGTACATTACTTTGAGGTCTTAGGTAGAAAAGTCTTTACCTTCTGTGAAGTAACACTGAAGTTGAGAGGATTCTCCAAAATAGTGCATAAACGAAAGAATGAAGACATTTAATTGCATTGCAGTTCAGTTTGGGGTTTGTTTTTATGATGCTAATAGTATCCCTGAAGGAGGTCAACTGAAAGTATTTCGTGTAACTAGAAGAGAAAGATATATTTCATGTTAAAACATATAGCAAAGTGGGGTGAAAAATAATTTGAAGTGAAAAGGAAATTCCTTAAGCATTGAAAAGCAAATAAGGACTAGCTTCTCCCCCCCAACCCCCCATCCAAATTAAAGGCCTAACATAGCCTAAAGGATTATGGTGCAAAACTATTATCATAGGGCAAGTATGATGAATATTCCTTCCTCCAAGTCTTGACATGAACTGCTCTGGCTTTACTATCAGATTTTTTTTTTTTTTTAAACATGGAAGACTGTAGCAATACAAAATGACACGACTGATACATCAGTTGTCTTGCTTTTGCTGCTTTTCAGCAATGCATTTATTTTCATAAGGAAAATCCACACACATTAAAATCATTTTTATTTTTCTGCATTTTGACACCAAAAGTGAATGTCTTATGTTACAGTTTTCTATAGAATGGACACAAGCATAGCTATTTGGAGTACTCAAAAAAGCAGATTAAAAGGAAAAAAAACATTAATCTTAACAGAAAAAAACCCTCTATTGCTTTGCTACAAATTACCATGTTTGTCCCAAAGTTCACAGAAAGTAAAGCTTCCCCATAGCTATAGTCTACACAATAATTGTACCAAGAGTAAAAAGATACTATTAACTAATGTTTTCAGCTTTTTATAAGTAGCACTTTAAGAATAGTAGTATGATTTATTGCGATTTTGTACCAAGCAGTTAAGACTGAACATCTGTATGCTGCAGATTTAAGCACACCAAAATGTATACATTCACTTTAAAAAATTGTTGCTTATCACTCTTCATTGGTAGTAGTGAAGTCAGCTGCCTGCTCAACAAAGTTACACAATAGAGTGTTTCACCATGCTTCCACTGAGAAAAATATTCAACTACATGAAAGTAGTAAATCTCACCTTAGAAGATGAAACTGTAGCAGAAAATGCAGCAATGCCCTCTTCATACAAGAATAAAACTTCATATGGAATTTCACGCTTTGAGAATACTTCTCTACATGAATATTCAAAGATAATCACATAAAGCTGTATTGGAAAGACCTCGCTTTTTAAAAAAAGAAAAGAGACCACTGCCAAAGTTGGAATTTAGACTACTTCAGATAAGAACCTTGACCCAAAAAAGTATTTTAGTAGCAATTATACTGATGCAATTTTTATTCTCCACGCATATTACTAATAAATAATTTCCTCTAAGACATCTCTTGCCAATTAGATTTGTATTCAGCTCCTACAACACTGTAAGCACTAAAATGAAGGGATACATTTAAATGATGTTACGCTTAAACGGAGTTACTAATATGATACTAAGACTTTTACAGAAATGCGAACAGGTTTACAGATACATTTACTAAAAAGTTACAGTAATCTACAGAAAAGGTCATCATTGTACTCTCCCTACATCCTAAGAGATACCAAATTCAGTTACATTGTCACTGAAAAAATGCATACAAAAATGCATTTCCCTTTATCACCTGTGTTAAAATCCTCCTCCACAATCTATAGAGACAAAAGTACAACTTCTCTTCTGTACAAAGGAAAAGCTTTAAAAAACACAGCTTCACATTTTACTAGATTTTTGCCCTTCTCAGCTTCCAAGTTCTTGCAAAAACAAATGTACAGTTTCTCAAAAATGAATTTAAAGATGTCCACATTAAAAAAATAAAGCCTACAAAAAGTTCGAAGATCTAAAAAAATGTTACTCTTATGGCAAAGTGATCTCCTACTAGTCCAGAGTCCAGAAAGGTACTGATGTCCATTTAATATTATCTTGCTTCATTTATCCAATTTATCAGGTTCCAATCACATTATTTGTAAGAAGTCCTTGAGCCGATGAGAGGGCAGAAGAGTTCTCTACAATTAAAAACAGGAGATCAAATCAGGTGTGCCTTTCAGAAAGATACTCATTTGGCACTGGCCTGAGTGACCATACTCATGTACTTAGAGAAAGGATTTCCTTGATTAGTTTCCATAGACTGATAAACCAAAAACAAGAAGACCACAACGACAACAAAGAGAAGAATTTTTATCCACAGGGGAATGGAGCGTTCTTTTTTTGTTGGTGGTTTCTCTGACTTCATGTCAGTTGAGGTACCATATTTTGGAGCATACTTAGAGAAACTTTCATCCATTCTGAAGTCACTGTGCTCTATAGGCCGGCTAGCAGCTCCTTTGATTGGTCTACGGCAGCTAGCACTGTTAATTAAAAAAAAAATATTGCATATTTAAAAGATCAATCTAAGGTATACAGGAAAATTTGAGTATAATTGAAGAACTAAAAGTTATTTCTAATAAATTAACTACCTGACATATCTGTCTCAAACTCTAGCATGGCTATCGTTACTATTTTTAAAGTTAATAATTCAGTATTCAAACACACACCCCTTAAAAAAAAACCTCAAATGCCACTTTACTTCACCCTATCCACATAATCAATGGATCATAACTGGAAATAAAACTCTAGGAAGTGTCTCTGTCTGCATCTTTCACAATCACTTACGCAGCCCCACGGGGATTTCTAAATGTAAGATTGTCCCTGGCCATTAAAATACCTACCGATGGCTAAGCCAATACACAGAGCCAGAAGACAAAGCAGAAAGGGTTAAGAAACCCACATACATTGCCAAGGAGTACACATGCATGATTTTTATTTTTAAAAAGTGGCATAGATTTAACTAGCCTGATAGACCTCAAAACAAGAGAGTGCAAATCTGAGTGGTAAGCAGACATGTCACAGTAGTCGTAACTGGTACCATATAGTCTCCTTATGGTAAGGCTTTATGCAGTTGCCATTTAGGATGAAGCTGTAATTAACATGTTGGAAACATGAGAGTTGATTCACATCTTAACATAGGGAAACTTTTTCTCATATTCTCCAAACAGGAAAAAGTTTTGTGAAATGCTTAATTATCTGGAAGGATGGTCAATTTTTGTTTAAATACAAAGTTGCAAAGAAAAATGTAATAAACCTTCCTAGACACTATCCTTATTCATGCTAAGAGTAATCTTTGACTTCAACAGGAATGCTACTTAAAGGACAAATAGGATATTCAAAAATTCTTTTTTGCTTTCAAAAAAAACCACCTCAGATCTATGCTGGGAGAGCTTTCCTTAATTTAACAGCAGGCCTAAGGCAGTTGCATCTAGCCAAAAACTTAAATATTGTTAGCCATTGCCACAGAGAAGCCCTTTCCATTTAACTTCCAGCACCCAGAAGTTCCGGTAATATTTCCTACTATAGTACTATCCTGTCTTCCCACCCCCAACTTAAGTAATGAAGAGACTGTTTTGTCTAACAAAACTATGTATGTAGAACAGAAGAGCTAGGTGGCCATCTCAACTGTCATTGAGCCAGAGTGCAAAAACCATTCCTCAGAAATACAGCAACATAAATCAAAAGACACTTCTCAGCTTAAATAGGTTTACAATAACTGAGAAACAAACCCACATAAACCCCCGTAAACCTTAGTAATACCTAATTCCTGTAGGCGTTGATACTTCATAAGGGAACATTTCCTTAAGAATATCCCTTTCTACTCTTCGTTCTTCTGTATGAGTTCTCTCCAGCACCTACGAAACCAAAAACATTAGAGGCCTAACAGACTGCAAAACAAAAAGCTCCTGCATAGCTATCTCCACAACCATAACCACATGCAATTTGTAAGAATGAGTCACCCAGTGACATTCAAGAAGTTTACTTCTTGGGTTTTCGAAGTTTAACCTTTGTTAGTGGCAGCTGTCTGGACACTTTTGGTGTCTTAAAGCATTCGGTGTTCTCCTCAGTTTCCTTCAAGATAAAGAATATGTTGTATAAATATAATACATCTGCCAGCCAATGATATAGATGATCAAAAAAACTTAACCATCACCTCTATCATGGCTGTGTTGAGCAGATCACAGGACTGGTTGTGGCCAACATGATTAAAAAGGCATTTATGTAGGTAATCTGTCTCTTCTTGCTGTAATAAACAATGCCACAGGTACAGTAGAATACTAACTTAAATAACTTCTGCAGTCTGAAATAGAATATCACGTTTTCCCACAACCTTCTATTTGACAACTAAATCTACATTGCAGTCATATTATAAACAAATGAAGCAGCTCATTTCATACATTTCAGGCCCATTGGTAGAGCAGGCTTCACAAGTGTAAATACAAGTTTTATCTACAGTAAGTACATGAAGCAATTAACTCCATTTAAATTCAGCCAAGCATTATCTTGTAAATTTCTACAATATTCCAGTACTACATTAATACATTACATATACTTGCAAGTGCTTTAGACAGTTCTCCAAGAAGCACGTAATTTTGACAGCTTGAATAGGTTAACAGTAAAAGAATTATTTTCTTTCTTTCTAACTGACAGGAATCTACAGATTCTTTTTAAATTCAGGCTTTTGGTCTAAAGTAATCCTGCTCTTTGATTCCCTGAATTAAGGCATGTTGTGGTCTTCCTGGATAGGATGATTTACAAGATCACAGGTAGATTAACCCAATTTTGCTCTGAGTTACTCAAAGAATTTAAAAGAAAAAAGTATACATTTTGTACAGAAAACAGCAGCAGCAGGAGAAATAACAAACCCAAACCATATTTGGCTTAGGGGGAGAAAAAAAAAAAAAAAGCAGCATCTCCACACACAACCCCACCCCACCCCCCCAAACCTGAAAGATGATAGTCTATTTTGACTAGTGCCACCTAGGCAGTGACATCCTCCACCCCTTCTGTACTAATGAGTAAGCACATACACACAAGAATCTTGTTTACAAAGAGTAAGCAATAGCAATCTGTGTTTTAATTTATTTACTTTAGCTGTCATCAGTGGTTTCTTTGGTGGTGTTCTGGGCATGTCTGAGAGTTCACTGATTGACAGTGTAGGAGCTGCATGCTTGAAATTTCCAGTCACCCTATTGACAACCTGCCAAGATTCAAAATTGTTCAAACTCAGAATCAGCCAAAATACACAATAAAAGGGAGAGGGGGGCAGAACCAAACAACAAAACCTTTATGTGCATTGCATATATGCATGTTAGGAGTTAACTCAAGAAGGTTATGTAACAGTTACTCTGAAATAAGCACAGGAAACACATTGCTTATCATTCCAAGTAGCTTCTTTTAAGCCATTTAGAAACAAAGGCTATTTAGTTTGCAAGAAAAGCCAAACTTAAAAGCAGATATTCTGCATGTAGTTAAATAAATTAAGAAAAGATCTGAGTTTTTAAAGTGGTCCTTCTCAACCCTCCCCCAGAAAAGACATTAGATGGGACCTAGGTGTCTACCTAGTCCCATCTCAAAGAAAACAGCATTAGGTACCAATACAGATACTGAATATGTGGTTTCAAAGACTATTGAATAGAAGACTCTTTTAGGGAAAGTAAGACTATCTGCTCAAAACAGAATGATTCTGTCAGTAAAGATATATTACAGAAGAATACCACTTGCATGATTGATTAAACGTATTTACTAAGCATATTTACTAGGGTCTCGTTGCTTGCAGTCAATATAGTTTCAGCTATAGGAGTACTCTCTGTTATTACAGCATCATCTACAGGCAACTGCGCTGTAGCTTCCACCTGTTTGTTTAAAACAAACAAAAGAAAACAATTGAATAAAACCAGCCATTGGGACCCTAACAGTGAAAAAAAAAAAAAAAAAGAGCTTGTCTATTACAATAAGCCTCTCATCACCCTTTTCCTTGGTGTTCTTCTTGACACTCTTGTAGACTCCCTAGAAAATGCCTGCAGAGGTCCACTTTTTGAAGATCCACTTGTCCAGACAGTCTCAGTAACTCCATCTTGAGAATAGGTCTATTCAAGCATCAAACACATGATCAAATACATGAAAGCCAGCTCTCAACATTGGATACCCACAACCAAAAGCCAGAATAGCATGCATACTCCAGAAGTAGCGTGTCTACAATCCAAAAAAAAAAACCCTGGATCCCAACACATTCAATAATGAATAGCTAGCCAGATTAGTAGTATCGACCACAATACTTACACTGTTTTTCAAATACAGAACTGACTAGATAATGCCCAACAGTAAAAACTGATAGTCTGCTCACTGCAATAGCGTGAAATAACTAATGCTACAAGTAGCTACATCAAGCCATGGACAGCAGATAAGCTAGCTTTCAGGCTCATTACATTACCTGCCTACACACACACACAAAAAAAAAAAAATCTATGAGCACAAGTAGAAAGCACCACTTTGTTCTCTGCCCACACAGGGGTCTATTCTCTCAAGCAGAGATGGGAGTGGTTTAGGGACAGCCACCTACATTTCAACAGGAACTAATCTCCACCCACAGGGGGCAGGGAGGGACATTTTACAGACTTAAAAGTTTCCACATAAGAGATGAAGCTCACACAATTTTCATGTAAAAGTGGGTTTAAATGATCGAGCCTGACACCGATATTTACAAACCTAGGTAACAACATCAAGTGCCAAACTTTTATAGCCATTAACAAATGCAAATCATTCCCTATTGCTTCTTGAAAGTTTTATGCTCAAAGAAAAAAATGCTCCTCAAAACTAATTCCAGACATAGAACTGGAGGGAA